CTGCTGCTGCTGTTGCTGCTGCTGCTGCTGCTGTTGCTGCTGTTGCTGCTGCTGCTGCTGCTGCTGCTGCGGCGGCATTGCGTAGCGCGACTCTTCAAGAGGGAAGCCCCGTCCTTCTACTGCGCCTTCTTCTAGCTGCTGTGGTTGCTGCTGCTGCTGTTGCTGCGGTTGCTGCTGCTGCTGCTGCTGCTGCTGCTGCTGCTGCATGCATTCCGGTGGAGGGGGAGGAGGCTGACGAGGCGGCAGGCGGGAGGGGGGGCCCCCTCTGCAGGGCGGCGGCCAGCTGCAGCAAACAGACAGCAGCAGCAGCAGCAGCAGCAGCAGCAGCAGCAAGTGCAAATACTGTTACAGCTGCAGCAGCTGCAGCAGCTGTAGCAGCAGCAGCTGCTGCAGACAGCAGATAGAGGAGGACGTAGCAACGATAGCAGCAACAACTGCAACGCCGTATGTAGCAGCTACTGAAGCAGCAGCAGCAGCAGCAGCAGCAGCAGCAGCAGCAGCAGCAGCAGCAGCAGCAGCGAGGACGCCAGCAGCAGCAGCAGCAGCAGCAACAGCAGCAGCAGTACTAGCAGTAGCAGCAGCAGCAGCAACAGCAGCAGCAGCAGCAGTTTACCATGTGTATCTGCTGAGGTCCTCAGGCAGCGCCACTATAATATCCGGATGCTGCAGCACACAGCAACACAGCAGCAGCAGCAGCAGCAGCAGCAGCAACAGTAACAGCAGCAGCAGAAGCAAGAGCAACAGCAACAGTAGCACCAGCAGCAGCAACAGCAACAGGAGAAGCAACAGCAGCAGCAACAGCAGCAGCAACAGCAGCAGTCACAGCAGCAGCAACAACAACTGTAAAACTAGTAACATCAGCAGCAGCAGCAGCTGCTGCAGCAACAGCAGCAGCAGCAGCAGCAAGATAGCAACTAACAAAAATACAAACAACAAAAGCAACAAACAAAAAACGAGAAAAAGAAAATAAAAAAGCAAACAGTAAATGTAAAAGAGGAGAGGAAAATACTAAGGATAATCTAACTAATTAAATATTCTGCTGCTGCTGCTGCTGCTGCTGCTGCTGCTGCTGCTGCTGCTGCTGCTGCTGCTGCTGCTGCTGCTGCTGTACCTCAACGACGGTGGTTTGCTGCAGACATTCACAGAGCGACAAATCCCAAGGCAGCAGATAAGCAGAGAGAAGCTTCTTGCTACCACCTGCTGCTGCTGCTGCTGCTGCTGCTGTTGCTGTTGCTGCTGCTGCTGGTGTCTTGTCTGCTACTCCTGCTGCTGCTGCTGTTGCTGCTGCTGCTGCTGCTGAGGGGGCGGGGTGCTGCAGATCGACGCCTGCATGCGCTGCTGTTAGCGGCAGCAGGAAAACAAATCCCTTTGCTGCTGCTCCTTCTTCTTCTGCAGCAGCAGCAGCTGCTGCTGCTGCTGGTGCTTCTTCTGTTGCTGCTGCTGCTGTTTCTGTTGCTGCTGCTGCTGTTTCTGTTGCTGCTGCTGGCGATTCAGTTGCTGCTGCTGCTGCTGCTGCTGCTGCTGCAGGCAGCAAGGGACCAAGAGCACCCCGCTGCAGCAGCTTATCTTCTTTTGGTTTTTCTTCTTCACACCCTAAGCGTCTCAGAGCGCGTTGCTGCTGCTGCTGCTGCTGCAGCAGCAGCTTGCTGCAGTGCTGCTGCAGCAGCAACGCATGCTGCTGCAGCGGTTTGTCTTCGCGCAGCAGCAAAGACAAACGGCCAGCAGCAGCAGCAGGCAAACGGAAGCAGACATCCCAACATATTACACCATCACCACCCCTCTTGTGCTGCTGCTGCTGCTGCTGCTGCTGCTGCTCTTGCTGCTGCTCTTGCTGCTGCTCTTGCTGCTGCTCCTGCTGCTGCTGTGCAGCAGCAGATGCATCGTTAACGACCGTCAGCTGCTGCTGCGAGTCTTCATCTCCGCTGTCCTTCTCTTCTTGTTCTTGCTGCTGCTGCTGCTGCTGCTGTTGCTGCTGCTGCTGCTGCTGTTGCTGCTGTTGCAAGTCGATACCTTGGCTCTCTTCTGTCTGTGTTTGCTGCTGCTGCAGCTCCTGCTGCTTTTCCTGCTGCT